ACATATTATACCTGGGGGGATTTCAGAATTGCCACCAACAAGTGACTCCCATCTCCTCTTCCAAAGCCTTTCTAAACATGGATGTCTATGAAAGTTGTTCTATGCCTGTCCTATTGCTATTGGGTGGGGATGTAGGTGAGCAGGTAACTTATCTCTTTTGTTCACACATCTTCAAATTCAGGGGAATTATACTTGAGATACTGCAAATAAGGAATACCACCCAAGGACTTGATCTACAACTAGACCTGATTTGGATGATGAGATTCTAGACTTCAACTTTTGTAGGCCTTCTGAGGTGAATTTATTTTGCACATAGGAAGTATGTAAACCTGATGGTTTAAAATTATACCCATAAATTCTTCTCTTCAAAGGTAAAGCTTAATTACCCTCCCCTTGATATGTGCTAGATTTAGTGGCTCATTTCTAATGAACAGAATATTGTAGAAACAAAAGAGTAAAATGTCTGATACTAGGTCATAAAAGACAGTCTAGCTTCCTTTCTCACTTCCTTGGAATATTTGTCAAAGCCACCTAGGCATGTGTTGAGAATACTTAGGTAACCCAGTAGAGAGGCTCATATGGAGGACTGAGGTTTTCTCCCAATAGTGAGCAAGGAACTGGAGTTTTCTGTTAATAAGCATGTGAGGAAGCCATCTGGGAAGAAACTCTTCCAGTATCATTCAGGTGACTGCAACCTCATGGAACTCCCAGAACATGGAATTTCCAGAACAACCCAACTGAGTTACTCCCAGATTTCCAACTATCAGAAACAGTGGAAGATTAAAAAATAAAATCAAGTCATTAGTTTTGTGGTAACTTGTTATACAGGACTAGATAAAGAATATAACCCCAAATTTGGGCTCTGCCTTCACTCCAGTTTTGACAAGAATCTTGCTGGGTCAGTTTAGGGAAAATTCCCCACCCTTGATATCGGATCAAATTTCTTATTCTCTACCCTCAACATCATAAATAATTTTTCTTCAACATTCCCAAGTTTTATTATTAGGAATTTCTTTCAAATGAGTATTTTCATACTTTTACCTTTTATAGTATATTCATTTTGGGGAGACAGATTTCTAGAATTAAGTTTATTATTTTTACCATATCCTTTTTTAATAACCCATGTTGTGATTTGAAAAGGATGTATATAAAGTCATTTAGTATATACCCACACACATACCCTGAAAATTCCAAGGAAAACTTAATTCACAGTAAACTATAAATTAGACTAAAACATTCAGTCTGTAAATTTTCATATCTTTGGAACTTACCAAAAAAGGTATACAGAATGAAAACTAATAAAAATGAAAATATGAATATTTAAGATTCAAACATGTAAACAAAGGTAGGCAAAGTTTAAATCCTTTAATAAACAAAAATAAAGCTTTTAAAATAAAAGGTCTTTAGGGGTGCCTGGGTGACTCAGTTGGTTAAGCATCCGACTTCGGCTCAGGTCATGATCTCACGGTTCGTGGGTTCGAGCCCTGCATCAGGCTCTGTGCTGACAGCTAGCTCAGAGTCTGGAGCCTGTTTCGGATTCTGTGTCTCCCTCTCTCTCTGATCCTCCCCTACTCATTCTGTCTCTCTCTCTCTCTCACTCTCAGAAATAAATAAATTTTAAAAAGCCCTTAGAAAAAAAAGAAGTCCTTAAGAAAATTGAGGGGTATAATGAATCAAGACAAAAATTGAGAACAAAAAAATTAGTTGACATAATAAATCAAGGGTTGATCCTTGGAAAAAGTAAATCAGAAACATTGATAAAACTGTGGCAAATCTAATGAGGGGAAAAGGAAATACATTTTAATATTAGAAATGAGAAAAGGAATAGGATTCTGAGGGTATAATATTCAGTCCCAAGTGGAAATATTACTTCAGGAAAGGAAGGTTTCTAATAGAGAAGTATGAATCAGGCTGAACAAATCCTTGAGCAGTTTCAGTCTCTTTCCCCTCTCACTCCCCGCAGAGGGGGATCGTCCCAGTCCCTCTGATCCCGGCCTGATTTTATCTTCCCCAGTTCAAACTCACATTAGAAGGCTTTCTCAGTGGACTCTGCGTCCTTCTTCTCCCAATCTCTTGGATTTTGTAAGGTTTCCTATGGCTTCGGATCTTCTCCATGCTAGATATGGGGGCGAGTGCAATGTACGGAGCTCCCTACTTCTCCGCCACCTTGCCCCCTCCAGTCTGAACAAATCCTTTCTGATAGAAAAGAGTCAGGTGGAGCAAAGCCTTTCTGATAGAAAAGTGTGAATCAGGCTGAGCAAAATCTTAGAAGAGTAAAGAAAATGTGAAAGACTGCCTCCACAGATATTCTTAGCTACTCAATAAAACTAAGCAATTTTCTTTAAAACTTCTAAAGACAGAAATTAATTAAGTAGTATGTGCATTACCTTTACTAGTAAAGCATTTCTCACTAAAACCAAAAACAAGAAAGCTCATTCATATATCACTGTTTGGAAGTTCTGGCCAATGCAGTATGATTAAAAATAAGTAAAATTGGCAGGAAGGCAGATTGTGCATAGATACCAAATAAAAATTAACTTAAACTAAAAGTATGCCATGTTATTAGTGAAAAGATAAATAACAAAAATATTTTTTTTCAAAACAGCATTTTATTACTATAATTGCTATTTTACTTACAATTTTTGGCAACATTAACAAAATAATAAATTTTATCTGAAAGAACAAGCAAGCAAAATAGACATGGAAATTCACAAAAGGCAATAACAAAATAGTAATTTTGACAGATATTCAATATATTTGTAAACGAAACAAAGTGACATTGCCTTAAAAAAATAGAGAGGTATCAATAGAAAAACAGAGAAAGCTCCTGAAAGAACTCACTATATTCATTTTCTTTTGGTTGCAGGCACAGAAACTGACTCAAGCTAGCTCAATTCTAAGATAAGCAAAGCTTTTAATGATTATCTCTTCCTAGCTTTTTGTGAAAACCTAGGAAATTTAACCGGATTGGAGAGGATAGAAAGGAGTGGGGAGGCTTAAAGTGCCATTAAGGGGGAAGAGGAAAAAGGTAGGGGGAGATTTCATTGTCAGTATCTTTTAAGAGCATTGGTGAAGCTCAATAAACCAAAGGAAGTGTTGAACAATTAAGCGAGGTAGCAAACCATGCAGGCCTAGATGAGCATTCTAAGAAAGAAAACAGAAGTTGCAAAGTCTTTGGAACAGGAAAAAATATGATTTACTTAAAAAATTAAAAAGTGAGGCCAATGCATCAAAAACAGTGCACTAGTGGGGAAAATGGTGGAGTAACATGGCAGAGAATGGAAGAGCAAGAGGAGGTAGACAAGGGTCATATCACTAGAACCTGTAGTCAGCAATAAATAACAATTTGTACTCCTTTGGGGCATACTTTAAATAGCAAACAACAGTTATAAGTGTTGATAATACCAAGCAACCACAAAAACAAAGAGCTAAGACATTTCATATTTTTACTGTTTTCAGAAACAGACACTGTCACATGAACAGAATAAAGGAGAGAAGTATGCAGTAGTCTGCATATCTATTTTTACACAGAAGTTTCCACCTGAGACTAGAACAAGAGAGCGTGTGCACATATGCACATGCGTGTGCACACACACACACAGACACACACACACACACTCACTCACTCAAACTCTCACTCTCTTTCTCTCTCCACCTAAAACAGGTTCAGGCTGAAATATTAACAAAGTGCCTTGGCCCAAGCAAACTAACTGAAAAGGCCTAGTAAAATGTTCAAAGTGCATATAAATCAATCGAACACTGAGCAAATAAATATAACAGAATCTACATTCAGGAAATTCTTTAAAACACGGACAATATATTCACAACTACTTTGTTATCTGTCATCCTTCCTCCCCAATTCTAGAAGGGATGCTAAGCCCCTGATGACTAACCCTTCCCAGCTTTTTGTGAAAGCTTAGGAAATTTAACAAGGCTGAGGAGGGAAGAGAGAAGTGGGGAGAGGGAAGATGCCTTGAAAGAAGAGAAAGCAAGGGAAAACAGGAGATTTCTCCTGGCTCAGGTCTATAGACAGCATCCCAGGTTCCTTAAGTGGTGCACAGAGGCTTGTAGGTACCTGGGTCAGAGGTGGAAGAAGAAGGGACAGCACTGGAAAATGCCCAGGGACACTCAATCCTGGGAATCCACAGAAGCAGCCAAGGGTATTGATGTTCAGGAACCAACATTCAGAGGGCACTGCAGTTATATGAGAGTCCTTGGAAATGGCAAAGGGAAAAGGTTCCCTGTACAGTCACAGATTAGGCAGTTGGACAGATTAGGTGAAGGACAGGAACTCTAAAATGTAATACTTAATGAAATAAATGGGACATTTCTTCCACATTAAGAGTGTGTCAAGAAAGACCCAAAATCACATTAGTTTTATAAGAAGGGAAACTATACACACAAGAGAGTAACTGTTAGATGTAATACATTCATGTCCAAGGCAAGTTACAAACTTGCAAATTTTACATGTTCAACTGGGGTAAGACACATGTACATGGGAAAATATCAGGAAAAGCCCTACAGTGAGTTTCATTTTATTCAGTCACCATGGGTTATTACTTTCATCCACTGTACCTACTATTCTTGGGCAACTCCCATTCTAACTTATTAGCAATAGAGCTAAATTTAGCCCAGTCCTTGAACTGAACAGATACCACTTGTTTAGCCCTTTTCAGTTCAAACTATGGGTCCAGTGCAGTTCAAACTAGGGATGTCAGGGCTCCTTTCCCTGGGGAAACTTTACTTGCTTTACTGCTGCAGCTGAGAGGTATATGGCTAATTCATTCTGACCAAAGGCCAGCTAGGCAAGAACAAACCAAATTCCTCTTTGGATCGCTCAACAAGAACCTCAGACTCCAGGCCCCATTCTATTGTTACCCCTGCTTCTCCATTTGAAGCCAATTGATACACAGTGATTATTTCATGTCTGCAGGGGCCCCTTGCCAAACACGAACCTTTTATTTTGAATACTTTTGCTTCCTCGAAACTTTTATTTTGAATACTTTTGCTTCCTCGGCTATTCTTTTGCTAGGAAGACACTCTGAGACACTGTTCTTTCTGCCTTGGCTCCTAGAGAGAGAGAGAGAGAGAGAGAGAGCGCGCGCATAGACACCCCTCTCCCTCCACCAGAACAAGGAGTCTCCACTGACTAATCTCCCAGTTTCTGATTCTCATCCATGACATACCTTCTCCCTCAACTTCACACTCATGCTCTCAGAGAGATTATTTTAAACCATCATAAGAGAGACGCTTCTAGGGACTCAGCAGCAAATGGGACCATGTTGTGTTGTACAAAGTCCTTCCAGTCTGACTAGAGTTAATATTGAAATCTTCAAGACATGGAAAAAGTTGAAAATAAAATTAAGTACTTAAAAAACTCTAGATTCTATATGCAGAAATTAGAGCTTTCAAACTTACAAATAACATGAAATATCAAAATAATAAATAGGCTTCTACTTTTTTTCTCTCACACACACATACACACACAAAACACCTTTTATATGTTAAGCCAGATACAGTTACATGAAAGTCAGGTAATATACTTTAAATAACATATCAGATTCAGATCAGACAGTACTGTATTTCATGAATTTAAAAAGAAACTCATAAATGACTTATTGGTTTCACTGTGTGACCTTACTAAATAATGTATAGTTTGTATTTTTTTATTTTTATGGGGTTTTTTATTTCGATTGAAATACCTGCGTTAGATTTACTGAAAGTAGAATTAACGAGGTTTTTTTGAAACTTTACTCTTAGACCTGGGAGGTGATGGTTCAGAATCTGACGTGCTCACAGTAACGGATGCTACATCCACTGATCCTGGTTGAAGAGGTCCCAGTGACACTTGAATAACAACTTTTGTTTCAGGAGGCAATCCTTCCAGTTGCTTAGGCTTCTTAAACATTTGATGACACTGGGTCTTGTGCTCCATTTTCTCCTTGAAAGTTAAAAACTGTAGGCGGCATTTGGAACAGTGGTGAACACTCTTTTCCCAGTGTCCCCTATAATGACACATGTATGGTGTTGCAGTTTTGAAAATTTTGAGACAAAATGGACAGAGCAAATTCTTAGTGTTTTCATGGCATGTTCTGAAATGTGTTTCCACATCAGCAAAGGCTGATGATCTGTAATTGCAAACTTGGCACACATAGGGCATTTCACCAGGCTTATGATTGTCCTTCATGTGCTGTAAGAGAATCTGATCTGTTTTGAATGATAATTCACAAATTCTACAGATAGTAGAGGGCTCCTGGGTAGTGTGTACACTTTCAATATGACATTGCAGCTGGAAGGGAGTGGGAAACTGTCGGTGGCAGTGCTGGCAGGTGGTGTAACTTTCCCAGCTGTCACCCCTCTGCTTCTCAAGTTCCAAATGGTGTTTCATGTGATTCATAAACTTGACATTTTTTAGAACTTTCAAGCAGCTAAGGCATTTAAAGGTTGTGTGAGTCTTCTGTTCTGGCTGTCCATCTCCTTTATGCTGCCCATAATAAAAGTCATGAAGTAATATGACCAGACTTTCTTTCTTGGGATCAACAGCCTGGTTTTCACCTGCTAGTCTCAAAAAATCTGTTTTTGCCTGTCTATTTTCCTTAACAGGATTTGTAAGCTTGAAATGAACACTGTCCTTTGGAAAAGCTGTTGGGAAAGGTGCTCCATTCTGAACATGGCTTAATGAGGTATGAACACTGTTTGAGGGTGTGCTTTGCTGAGCAGTCACTGTATGAAAGATACCTGAAGGGGACAATGCTGAAGCATGTCCCCCTATGATTCCATCACTGAGTTTAAGCCTTTTGGGATTTACACTGTTTACTTCAGCAGTAGAAAGTTGCTTTGATATGCAAGGAGTTTTATTCATACCTCCAACAGGAAGTGCAGCTCTTCCTGGATGCTGCAATGAATTTGTGAATGTAATCAAAGGAGAACATAACTCTGAAGAGCTATTAGGCACGATTTGTGGTGAATTATTTTTATAATCAGGTTTAGACAAAGGCTCAATAATAATAGGACTATCTGTTGATCTTGATTCAGAAACAGGCAAGGTAGTCACTGCTTCTGATATAGGGGTCACATGACTTATAGGCTGTAATTTGTGAGTAGTATCTTTTCTGAGGTGACCATACTTTTTCCTCCTTGAACATGAACCTGGGGTGACTCTGTTCAAAATGTTTGAAACGACTGGTTTTGAATTTGAAGTCACCCCAACAAAGATCAGCTCAGCATCATCATTTACATGTTCTACCCCAACAAAGATCAGCTCAGCATCTTCATCATCTACTTGTTTGGTTTCTTCTATGTTCTGCTGTGGTTCTGGCTCTTGTTCTTCCTCACATAATATACATGGTTGTTCCATTGTCTAATTTTTTTTTTTATTCTTGAAGGTATGGCCACAAGTCCCAGTGTGTTCTTTATATAAATTGTCACCTAAGTACAAACACACTACACATCAGTAAGTACAGAAAAATGCATTACCTTATTTCTCTCCAAAACCCTAAGGTAAACACCCTTATTTTATAGATAAGGACATTAAGAACCTAAGAGGATAAATTACAGCTTAAAATCTACTGTTGTAAGTCTGTGCAACTCCAGAATCTAGCTTTGCTGATCATGATTACTTCTATTTAGAAAAGAGGAAAAATGTCTAATAACCAATCTCTAGGTGAAATCACATGCAAAGGATATATTCTTTTATAAAGGAACCACTATGCAGTGTTTAGAAACATAGGCTTTGGAGTCAGAAAAAATTAGACTGAAATTCTAAGTCACACATAAACCAGCTGCATCTTTCTTTGGCAAGTTCAAAACTTTTAACTGTGTTTCTGTATCTCAAAGGCAAAGGTTCTTATTTCTGGGGTGCCTGGCTGGCTCAGTCAGAGGAGCACACGACTTGATCCTGGGGTTATGAGTTCTAGTCCCCCACTGGGTATAGAGATTACCAAAAAACTAAATAAAAAAAAAACTTTAAAAAGAAAGTTCTTATTTCTCAGACTTAAGGTAATAGCTCTCTTTAAAAAGCACCAACTATTCAATGGTATCTTTTTCTGTAGTAGAATTGAAGAAAACTTTATATTAAATGAACATCTCAATTGATTCATACATACTAACTTCATAAATATTAATATAGAAGTGTCAAATTCAAAGAACAAAGTAAGAGTTCCTAGACACAATCAACAAATAGTATAATTCAATGTCAAATGCTTATCACATGCCTAGTAAATTAGGAATGAACTCTCTTGATAATCTCATCCCACCTCAAATCCTTATAGTCCATTCACTGATGTCTCCTAAATTTCTCCCTCTAATCCTCATTTTCCCACTGAGATCTCTTCTCCACATGGCAGAATAATGGTTCTGTTCAATCAGATTATATCACTGCTCAGCTCAAAACACTCCAATGGCTTTCTGGTTCACTCAGTAATAGGCCAAATGCTTCCAATGCCTGTAAGATCAGCTTCCAATCCTATGTACTGCCCCCGTAGTTATGTCCTATTCCTCTCCCCTATCCACCTCACTCTAGCCACACTAACCATCTTACTTTTTCTTAAATACATTAAACACTTTACCTTGCTTAGACTTTGTATTTGCTGTCCTTCTAATATGCATGCTCATCACCCAGATACCTGCATGGCTTGCTCTGCACCATATTCAGACTTTTGTTCCAAGTCTTCTCAAAGAGATTCTCCACACCATACACAAAAATAAACTAAAAATGGATAAAGGACCTGAATGTGAGACAGGAAACCATCAAAACCTAGAGGAGAAAGCAGGAAACAACCTCCTTGACCTCAACTGCAGCACTTTCTTACTTGACCCATCCCCAAAGCCAAGGGAATCAAGAGCAAAAATGAACTACTGGGACTTCATCAAGATTAAAAGCTTCTACACAGCAATGGAAACAATCCATAAAACTAATAGGCAACTGATGGAATGGGAAAAGATAGCAGCAAATGACATATCAGATAAAGGGCTAGTATCCAAAGTCTATAAGGAACTCACCCAACTCCACACCTGAAAAACAAACAACCCAGTGAAGAAATGGGCAGAAGATATGAACAGACTTCTCCAAAGAGGATATCCAGATGGCCAACAAACACATGAAACAATGCTCAGCGTCCCTCCTCATGAGGGAAATACAAACCAAAACCACACTGAGATACCACCTCACGCTGGTCAGAGTGGCTAAAATGAGAAAATCAGAGGACTCTAGATGCTGGCGAGGATGTGGAGAAACGGAGACCCTCCTACACTGTTGGTTGGAATGTAAACTGGTGCAGCCCTTCTGGAAAAGTGTGGAGGTTCCTCAAAAAATTAGCAATAGAACTTCCTTATGACCCAGCAACAGCACTCCTAGGAATTTACCCGAGGGATACAAGAGTGCTGATGCATAGGGGCACATGGACCCCAACGTTCATAGCAGCACTCACAACAATAGCCAAAACATGGAAAGAACCTAAGTGTCCATCAACTGACGAATGGATCAAGAAGATGTGGTTTATCTATACAATGGAATACTACACGGAAATGAGAAAGAACAAAATCTGGCCATGTGTAGCAACATGTGTGGAACTTGACAGTGTTATGCTGAGCGAAGTAAGTCAGGCAGAGAAGGACAGATACCACGTTTGCACATATAGGTGGATTAGGAGGAACTTAACGGAGGACCATGGGGGAGGAGAAGGGGGAAAATAGTGGGGGAGAGGGAGGGAGGCAAACCATGAGAGACTCTTGAATGCCGAGAACAAACTGGGGGTTGATGGGGGGAGGGGGGAGGGAAAGGAGGGTGGTAGGCATGGAGGAGGGCACTTGTAGGGATGAGCACTGCATGTTATATGGAAACCAACTTGACAATAAACTATTAAAAAAAAAGAGGTTCTCAAATACTCCAATCTACTACTAATTCACATTCTCTCTTCCATTCCCCTCACCTTCAAGTCCTCATCACCATCTAACACAATGTGAACTTTACCCATCTTGATTATTTTCTACTGACTACCCAGTAGAATGTAAACACCAAAGGACAGGGATGGTCTTTTGTTGACTACTGTACCCCCAGCAAAATGAATAGTACCTGGTACAACATAGGAGCTCAACAAATACAGAATTTGTTAAATAAATTAATGCTAACTTTCATTAATAAGAAATGTTTTTTGTAGAACAGACTAATCCATTACTTTCATTTTCTATGATTTAGTTTAGGAGCCCTGTCCATGTCAGGTATTCTGTGGGCCAATGAAGGACTGAAAACTGCTAGCTTTTTACAAACATTTTTTCTCACAACCTATAGTAAACAAAACAAACCAAACAAACAACAATGTATACAGAGTCTCACTACAAAAAGACATAAATAATAATTGCTTTACTACATGGGAGGCTTATTCTAATATTTTCTTAGTTTTTTAATTGACCATGACCCACAAAATCAATTATGACTCATCAATGGTTCACTACTAGTGGTTTGAAAAACACGGATTTTAAATTGATTCATAACTCACCAATTTTTGAAAACATATTACAATTCATTGTAGCCCAATGTGGACACTTCAAATCCAAACTATAAAAATTAAACTGGCATTTAATAGATGTCACGTACCTCTCATTAACAACTTACTTAGCACATGATCATATAATTTTGGAACACATAGATATTTAACCCTGAACTGTGTACACTAACTTGGAAATAAGCCAAAAAAGCAGAATATTAAGCAGAATAAAAATTATTTATTCTTTTCCTCACTTATTTCACAATTATATTTTGCTTGCCCAACTTGGTCTGACACTACCAAGTACTAGGAAGAAAGTGGTGAATGCATGAAGCATACAGTCTAGTGTGTCATAATAGTGACTACAACTTCTTAATTTCATTTTTTTTTACTTTTTAAATGTTTATTTATTTTTGAGAGAGACAGAGTGCAAGTGGGGGAGGGACAGAGAAAGAGAGGGATAGAGAGGATCCAAAGCAGGCTCTGTGCTGTCAGAGAGCTGTCACAGAGAAGCTGTCATAGAGCCTGATGTAGGGCTCGAACCCACGAGCCATGAGATCATGACCTGTGCCGAAGTCAGACTCTCAACCCACTGAGCCATCCAGGCTCCCCATAACTTCTTATTTTCTCAAAACTAAGTATATAATTAGGAGATATGCTAATGTAAGAAAACATAAGGCAAGTTTAAAAACACTGCTCTTTAGAGTCAATGAAAATTGGTTTGGTATGTCTATATACAACTTCAATCATCTAAACTCCAGGATGATGCCGCCTAATCCAGTGTTGCTCAACCTAAGTACCACTAACCTGTCTGGACCAGATAATTCTTTATTGGGGGAGCGGGAGTGCTGTTACATGCATTTAGGATGTTTAGTAGTATCCCTGACCTTTACTTACTAGATGACAGTAGTAATCCCCTACATGTCCAATCAAAAATGTTCTGTGGGAGGGGTGCCTGGATGGCTCAGTTGGTTAAGCATCCAACTTTGGCTCTGGACATGATTGCACCATTCATGAGTTCTAGCCCCGCGTTGGGCTCTGTGCTGACACCTCAGAGTCTGGAGCCTGCTTCGGATTCTATGTGTGTGTGTCTCTCTCTCTGTCTCTCTCTGCCCTTCTCCCCTGCCCCCATCTCAAAACATAAAATAAAAAAACATTTAAAAAAATTTTTTTAAAAAGTTCTATGGGAAAACTTCGGCCCTAATCCATCCTTCTTCTGAGTATAATTTCCACATTTCTATTAACTATCTTCTAGGTAATTCTACATGTATGCTCTAATACCCTCTCTAAAGAAATAATTCTAAATCGAAATTATTAATATATCCTTAATATCATACAAATCAGAATAAAACAAAATTTAAATTTAGAGTTAGAAAATAAATAAAAACAAAAATTTTAAAGAAAAAATAGAATAAAAATTTAATCTGACAACTAATATGACCATCAGAATTATCTGAGGATAGTGTTTTAAAGCCTAGGAAAGTTTATGGGGGGCTTGGGTGGCTCAGTCAGGTAAGAGGCCAACTTCAGCTCAGGTCATGATCTCACCATTCGTGAGTTTGAGTCCCATGTAGGGCTCTCTGCTGATAGCTCAGAGCCTGGAACTTGCTTCAGATTCTATATCTCCCCCTCTCTCTCTCTCTCTGCCCCTCCCTGGCTTTCACTCTGCAGCTCTCTCTCTCAAAATAAATAAATAAAAATTAAATAAATACAAAAAAAATAAAGCATAGAAAAGTTTATAATTTTACTTAAAATTATATGTAAGGCCTGGAGACAGATTTAGTACTCAAATTCACGATTTCTGATTCTAGTTCTGTATTCTCCCCACAAGAACTCTGACTTAATGCATGTCTAAATTTCTGGTAATGTTGCTATTAATTGCTTTGTCTCTAAAAATCAGAGTCTCAATGGATTCATTTTATTCTCTTTGTATTTCATAAAAATCTGTTCAAAGCTCCCCTACCCTCTATCAAATTACTCAAAGAAACTTCTAAGTGGTTCTAAATAACTTTTAAATCATTAGTCATTCTAACTACCTTTCATTTCCATTCGTATTAAAGCACCTCCCCACAATTTCTAGGTTTAGATTCACTGGTTACTTCATGTTTTTAAATCTGTACTATGTTCCAAATTGTCTGGTCTCTCTGTTCTTCAAATTATGATCAACTCCATACCACCACTAGTTGAATCCTAAAACACCTCTGTAATTATATCACTCCATTATTCCTACATGTTAAATGATTCCTCCAATTCTAGAGAATACATTTTAGGTTATGCTACATGCTGAACTGTGTCCCTCCAAAATTCCTATGTTGAAGTCTTAACCCCCAGTGTGATGGTTTCTGGAGATGTGAACTTCTGGAGATAATTAAGTGTAGATAAATCATGAGGGTGGAGCCCTTGTAATGAGATTGGTGCCAAGAAGAGATATCAGAGAACTTGCTTCTTCTTTATCTCCCATCCACTATGTGAAGACAGAATGAGAAGGTAGCCATCTTCAAGCCAGAAAGAAGGGAGCAAATCAGCAGGCACTTTGATCCTGAATTCTCCAGCCTCCAAAACTATGAGAAATCAAATCCTGTTGTTTAAAAGAAGTGAAAATAAACTAAGTTCCAGTAACATTGCCAGACTTTTCACTCAGCTGATCTTGGAAGGAGTTTTAGCTATTGACCATGCTGATTAACTTTCCATCCTACCATTCGAGATAAAAAGTTAAGAGTAGAGAAAAGAATCAGACCTAAAGCGAATAAACTAATGAACGAGTTCATTTAGAACAAGAATAACATTAGACCACAGGAATTTTCTTATCATTTCTCCTCTGGTGTCCTTATTTTCTACTATTTAACAGAAACTTATACTGGGGTAGGGAAGTTGGACATCCCAAAGACCTACTACATTGAAGGAGTTAATCCTCAAAAATCACTTCATATCCCCCATGAAGGAAGCCACCAAAGGCTGTAAGAAGAGTTAATGAGAAAATGTCATGTAAAAGATAGTAGAGAAAGCAGTGAGTAATATATAACTCATCTTCTAGGTTACTCCTATGAATTTAAGCAACAGCCCTTTTAGTGGGTCTTTGTTATAGCCACACACCAGCTTTTCTCAGGCACCAGTCTTTTATGAGTAGCTTCTTGAGATCAGACTAACAGGACTCTTCTGTCACCTATCCTCACCACCTTCCCTTGCCTTGGACTCTCTTCAACCCACTAGTGCTCCTCCAGAT